AGGGAAGAGCAAAGACGAGCGCTTAAAAAGAAGGATAGGCAGGGTCAGACCCTCAGATGTGTGAGGATTCTCCAACGATAGGTGTGTACGTGTGCTGATCTTTGTAATTATAAATTGTGAATACATGTGACTAATATTATTTTCTTTTTTATTTTGTGCATGTTACAAGTTATAAATAAATATAAACAAACAACACTAACTCGATAACATTGAATCTAAATAACAAAACGATTAATTTACTGTGTTTTTGTTATTTATTACTCCTGTTTTTAGGTATTCGGTATTCGGCCGAATAGTGATTAAATATTTGGTATTCGGCCGAATAGTGAAAAATAGGCCGAATAGGCCTAATACCGAATTGTAACCGAATATTCGTTACATCACTAATAATTACACATTACAAACAATTTAACTTACTGATAATATACATATTTTTGAAGAAAATGCGCTTTCGATAACTTAATTCAACAATGTAGTAACTTCAACAATAGTTGAAAAAGTATTATTGAAATTTATTGTTTATGCAACAATAAAAAACGTGCTCACAGAACGATAAACGTAGCGCGTGCTACGTATTACGCGTGTAAATCAATTTTATTTTGGGTTTTATTTTGGTGAGTAACTATAAAGAAAGACGTGTGCGATTATAAATGAGGATGTTTCTTTGTTGTTCACATTACATTTCTTGGCTGTTCGACCAATTGCTAAGAAACTCGGTACTTACTTTCAAATCCTTCTAACGTACGTCATGTCGTACATTGCTCTTCAAAATTACGATTGAATTTCTATAAATCAATTATTTTTTTACATTTCGTTTTTCGTCTGTTTAGTTATGACAACACAACACTTAGGCGATTTGCCTTGGGGGTGCCTTCCGGGAGATTTTTAAAAGAAAACTGGCTTTAATTTCGGCATTACAGACGTGGAGAAAACCCGAAAAACTTTACGTGGCCAGCCTATCTGAGCGGGGCGCGGACCCACGATCAAACTCTGTGTTCAGGAACTCGTCTACTCGAAGTACCGGGACGAAGTCCGCTCGGCCATGGAAGGCCCCGTTAGAAAAACCCTATTCAAAACTAGCAGAGTTGAGTCCGGATATGTAGATGATTTCCTATTGTTGACCGGACACTGCATTCTATGTCCTGTTCTCGAACAGGAAAAAATGTCCGGTAAATGCCGATCGCAATTTCAGAAGTTCCTCTCAACGAAAGTCTATAACTTTTGGAAGATGTATCGGCAAAGGACAAAGATGTAAGCTCGCGGGAAACACCCCAGCGAGTGTCATAACCTCTCGGGACTCCATGACAGACTTTGTAGTGTTCTAGGGTCTGGGTTTAAATATCTTGTAGAGTCGAAAATCGTTACTTTATTGGTTATTAATTCCCTTTCTCGATCCCTGACCGGTCTTTTTCTGTTACCAGGCGAAATTAAACCAGATTGGTTTCCGAGTAAGTCGATTGTTTTTAACGCAATTCGATACCGTGTTTTGTTCGACGTTGAACGAACCTTGTACCTTACTTTCCTTTCCTTCTTTGTTTGTCTTGTCTATTACCACAAATCAAGGTCATTATTGAACAACTTGTTCCTTGCTTTCATTCTGTACTCCGTTTAATAATGATGTATTAACTTAAGCGAGTGTTTCGTTATATAATTATAACGAAAAACTGGCTTAAGTTAATACACCATATATTTCGTGATATAATTATTATTTTTCATGCAAATTTAGAATGAAGGGAATTTTCCTAAAATTTGAACCATATGATTTACTCTATCATGAACCAGTCCTTCGTCACAGGAAAACTCGATAGTGACAATTGTGTTTTTCTTTCACAACGCGAGTTTTCTTATCATAACAAAATGAACTGTTTCATTAATACAAATACAAGCAAAGTTAAGTAATGAATTACAGTTGTCCCTTGATAATCCGACAGGTATGGGACCAAAGGTGTGTCAGATTACCAAAAGTGTCCGGATTACCGAAAATAATTACATATTTCGCATTGTTTTGTTAGCAGTAACTTACAATATTCTCTACTCCAACTGTTCGAACAGAACTGCTCACATAAAACACACGAAATGTGTGTCATCGAGTAAGAATTGGATGGGGAGATTCACATCGGGACATGCTTCTGTGCAAGCAGACACGTAACGGGGACGGGTACCTTGACGGGAGGTGCGTCGGACTACTGAGCATGTCGGATTAAAAAACGTCGGACTATAGAGGGACAACTGTACAGTCAAAAATTTCATTTTAACCACAATCGGATTACATGTTCCTTCATGGTCATTGTATCATGTCAGCATTTTTCCTGGCAAGTAACATTGGCAAATACCAATTCGCGACAATTATATATATCCAGTCCATTAATGGAGGTACAAATTAAGTTATATATTAACTCTAAACAAAATTGCATTGAAAGACAACTGTACCACATTGTTTTGTTATTGTAATCGGATTACCTTAGTTATTTTAAATATAAAATTGAAAGACGAGTCTATCATTTATAACTGCTTTTGTTGTTAAATTTTGTAAAGAGCTAGAAATATTTGCAATTCTGATTCTTAGAATTTCCTTTCATTCTATAACATAAACAGAAAGTTACATTTAAGAAATTAGTAGTGTTATCCAAGACCTAGGAATTGAAATTTTACAGGTTACTTACAGTATGTTGTCACGTTATCGTAAGTGATATCATTGAATTAATAGAAAATCTAATAATGTCATTGTGAACAATACAATTCAAGTTCCTCACCCAACTTGCTGTCAACTTGAAGTACCAACCGAACTTGAATCTCTCGCTTCCACATCGACCTTATATATGCGTTGCTAACCGTTTCTGAACTGAGACGAATTCGCCGCTAATTTCAAATCCAACGGTAGCCTCCTCGACAGTCTTTCTCAGCCGTTAGTATTTTAAAAAAGGCGGGTATTATACTTTTCCCGACAGTCGGGGTAGAATCGTGTTCTTACACGATTCTACCCCGACTGTCAGGATAAATCGTCTGGACGTACGATTTCCCGCGCTTTTCCTGTTTTCAAACGACCAACGGACGTAATCATGGAAACGCGGATCCAACGATGTCAGTAGTTTTGAAACTCGACCGCCGATTGGCTAGAAAACATCGTACGATCTGCGGACGTCCGATAGCGCTACTAATCGCTGATTGGAGGACTTACATTCGTTTCAATCCGTATAAAAGGGTTGAAATTAGGAGGGAAGTTCAGTTCGCCTAAGACATATCTAAGGAACTCGAGTTCGTTAAGCTTCTCCTAAGCTTGCCTAGAAGGTTGGTTTCGTCTCGTTGTGCGGTAACCAACGTCTGAAGGAATACGTCCCAAGGAGTCCTTTTCGACGGACCTGCTGTTGTGGTTTAATTGACATTTGAACCTTGCTATATCTGGATTATTGTAATTGTTTCATTTTTGTGAAATTCATAACTGTATGTACAGTACGTTTTAATCGTTAATATAAACGTTTGTGATTTTTGAACTTGACTCCGACATACAGGATAAGTGACATCGAACGTCTATAGCATTGTAGTATAAATTTATACTGGTTTTTTAACATCAACCTTTCTAATATTACTAGCGGGGAGCGATCTAGATAGGAACAAGATAGGGGATGATGACCATACCATATCCACTTGACATCTTATTTATTGTAAAAATTACATCTCGAGATTTGGTCCCATCTGCCGTTATATTCTAATGGGATAAAAGAGTATTAAATATGTTACTATTTAATGGTAGAAACACAGCATATAAGGAATTATAGTGCAATTATGTTGTATGCTGTAATTTGTTTAGAAAATAATAAACATTTAGAAATTGCATATACTCCATAAACGACTAAAATTGATGTACAGTACTGTACAGTGAGTTGTGTGTTGGTTTAATGTATACATTCGTGTATATCCTTCCGGTTTTAAATTCTATATTTATGTCCAAGAAATGCAGTTTCAGTAAGTTTTTTTTTCTGTTTTCAATTTTAGCCCATTCTTGTTATTTTTAACCTAACCTTATCAATAAATTCAGTGATGTTTTTGTTATTCTTCCAAATTATGTATACGTCATCCAAATATCTTTTAAAACATATAATTTTTTTGAAGCCATTTATAATACTTTTCTCTAGCTTTTGTAACACTAATTCACATAACATTCCCGATTTGGGGCTTCCCATAGGAAGTTCTCTCTTTTGCTTATATATTCGTTTTATTATATATTAAAGCTACATAAAGGATTCGTAGCATACTAGTCTTGCTAATTCTGTAATGTCATCGGTGTAATTCACAAATTACGCAATCTGTAGGAATATAGATTATATTAATGCTGTAAGACATGATTCTACTTTTAAAGCAGGGTACAGATTCTCGTAGTCCATAACCGTCCTTTTTTCTTCATCCATTAACAAGAGATCTTGCAACTCTTTCACCAGTTTTGTTATGTCCTGTGCAACCAATATACTGTTTTTTAGATTGGTGGTAATGTATTTGTGCAATAGCTTCTCAATAACATATGTTTTTCCTCTAGCTGTTTCCACCACTGGTTTTACATCTTTAACGGGCTTATGTGTTTTGCGAACACATAAGCCCGGGTTTATAAAAAAAATCTGGTTATCTGTTACTTTCAGAGAACCACAATTAAATAATTTGATATCTTTTTTTTTCTCCTGTGAACTCATTTATTTGTTAGGATTTCTCTAGTCCTCTTTACCCAAAAAGTTCATGGGCATGATACACATCCAAATAAATGAGGTAACTGTATATCTTATTACATTCAGTAACACACAAGTTTCTCTGTTACATTTGTAAACTGTTATGTAATATATATAATAGTTCATATTTTTGTTTTGTACAGTATTATGGTTTTATAATCTTTTGGAAATGTACCCTTAATGAGCAAATATATTTTCATAAATGTTTGAACACAGGCAATGGAGTCATATCCGCTTCTATTCCACTGTTCTGTACAATTCTATGTAGCGTAAGAGATAGTATGTAGGATTATTTGCTTTTCTCCAATCTGCGAACCCTGTATTCTTCAACCTTGGTAGTGCTTTGTGATAATTAGGTAAGTAATTGTAAATAAAAGTTGAATTAATGCAATCACTGAAATATCAGAAGGGCAATATTAGTATAAAACATTTCATAGAAGCTAAGTTGCCGCTTATTAGTGCTAATACGTAAAAATACTTTCTATAATGCAAAAATTTTAATTGGTGATTAAAAATAATTTTATACTTTATAGAGCTTTTGACCGAAATTACATATATTTTTTAAATTTCGGTAGTTAAATATACTAATGAACAGTGAAGACAATAAAGGAAATCGAATAAATAATGTGCAATCGACCACAGAAATTTGTAATTATTGTAACAGGCTCGTGAAGTCATATTAATTCGTTTGTTGAGAAACCGACTGTAACAGGTTAATACGTTATCTGACAGACAGAGCGGGTTGTAAATGTTTTTAGCTTAATTAGTACGGTTTAAAAATCACAAACCAGAAGTAAGTGTCACATTCTCATCCGTTTAAATATGCCATTTTTATTTTTCATTTAAAAGTATTAAACTATTAAATTAATTATAGCGAAATATAATGTAGAACATTTACATGTTCGATTTATGGAGTAAAAATACAAAGAAATTTGCAATTAAACTTGCAGTTTAATATGTATACATTCTTCAGTTAGAAATATCGTGTTTTATCCAGCAGAACTTTTTATTGTTACTTTTATGGAAGGATTATTCAATAAAAACTAAATTTGTCATACACTAAATTATATTAATCTTACTTATCTTGTTCAGTTTTTTCCTTAAAATATATATTTTTTTTATCTTAATGAAACAACATGCTGAGAATAGGATTGATTAAAATATTTATAACTATGGATACCAAATGCACGTACAGTACATACATACACAGAATTTACATAGAATTTTTTTTCTTTTTGGCAATGCAATCACACGGTACCAGTATTGTACCCTTTATTCCTTTTATTGTAATGCAGATGAAAACTTTATGATGCTAAGTAATTAACAATTGGGATAATTTCTAGGCATTGTGAATTTCATAAAATGCTAATTGTGCAAATAATGTATTGATATACCTTAACAAATAATAAGGCATGTGATTAACGTGATGAGTTCTCTCAATGAATATATGTTTGATTTAATTCAATAATTTAATATTAACAGTTATTTTACTTTACTATTACTCATTCAATATGTTTTATACTTTTATGAGACACTTAAAGATAAATAGGCAATAACTATTGTAAAGTTAATATTGTGTTGACTATATTTATAAAGTTATTTCATTGAATATTAATTTAATGAGCATAGTAAATGTAGGCTCTAGTTTGCCCTATAATTCAATGTTACTTTTAATGTTATAAAGAAATATTGTGTCACCAAAACTGTTTCATTTTATTAACAAAGAAAATATACGGAATTTTATATTTAGCGTCGTTACTTTGTCGTAATCGTGAATTTATAATTTACGATTACGACAAAATGACGCTAAATACAAAAATTCCTACAGTAATTTATCATGGCATCAAATTAATGACGCATGACATAATTGATAACAGTACACATTAATAATTGATAAGCAATTTTCGATGCTAAGCATGAATTAAGTAGCTATTTCCGTTAAATAATTATACATGGTGCTTTGTAAAGGAAACTAAATGAAACAATTACTAAATAAAACATTTAAAAATATTTATTGATGTAGAATTTTAAAAATCGAATTCGCTAATTTACTATCACTTTCTACAAATTCAGAAATTAGTAAAAAAAATAAGAAATTCTATTTCCAAACTTCCAAACAGTACGATAACAGGAGAATTAAATACCATTCTAATGCAAAAAGCTGTATAGTTTCGTCTACTTTTGTTCTTGAGAATTTCTGAAAATGATTTCTTCCATATAAAAAGCATTAAATTTTTAATATTTGCTGGCGATCGCGTGCATAACCAAAAAATTTTGCTGGATTTACAAGCTAATATAATGACAGTGTATTGCCGAGGACCTGGGATCGAATCCAGACTGGTCGAAGAACTCCCAGTCCACCACTGGCCTAGTAGACAAAACCACTAAACTCTGATAGTTTATCGCGCCTGGCCAAAGGGCTGGCCACGTTAAGTTTTCTGGGTTTTCTTCACGTTATTAACATTTAAATATAAGTCAATTTCCCATAAAAGACCTCACGGGAAGCATCACTCCTCGGCAGATCGCTCATGTGTCGCGTTGCCATAATCGAATAAAAACCAATTCGAAAAAACCCCAGGAATTTTTCGTTGAGTAATGTGCCTACAAGTGGATGCATCAAGGCAACTAATTTAGTAAAGAAAACTGGATTCATTTTGGTGAATTAAACTCGGAAACTTCACGTGGCAGGTGTTGGTAAAGGGCGAACCCGTGACAACTGCCAGTATTCAGTGAATTGTTTACCCTTTAGTTATTGTTTTATCATCGCTTACAATAAAAAAATTTAACTGTCAGGAATAGATGTTTATTACATTCAAATTTTTAGCCGATGTATCGACACTTAGTAATAGAGAGGTTGAGGCGCACGTATTCAGCCCAAAACGTGTACGGCGGACGAAGGAGCGCCGCCATTTGGTAATTCTAGGCGTTCGATAATTGCGTTCGCTTCGTCTGGAATGGCGAGTATATGATCGGCTTAAACGTCTTCATTTTTTTTTTCTGTTTGGGATTAAAATTATGACCTATTTTATTAAAATAACGATTATTTAAGCATTTATGAATAACACTGTAAAGAAACAGACGATTTTAATTCAAAAATTATTTAATTACTAGCGGCAAGGTCCCGCTTCGCTGGGTTTTTATTTGTATGTAATATAGGTTTTTTATATATATATAAAAGACTGTTTTTCTAAGTAATCTAGAATCTAGCTGCAAGGACCCGCTTCGCTGGGCAAAAAGTAGCGATAGTGAAGATTAAGATACAGTAGAGCGTCGATTTTCCGAAAGTCAATCATCCGAAAAAATTCCAGTCAACAAATTTAAATTTTCGCCAGTGCTGTGGCGCTTCAATCTTTGGCTATGTCTTGGGCTACTCAAATATTTTACGTTTTTGATACTAAATTGACATCTGAAGTATATATCGTAAAGTCTTTGCAAATCCTTATATATAGATTTAATATTTTTAATGTAATATGAAGTGACCACGGAAACTCAAAGGCTGTGTTCACTTTTTTTCGCACATTAAGCATTTAATTAAATAATATTTGTAGTCTAGTGATGAGGTATTAGTATTGTTGGATCAGTATGATAGAGATGAAGAAGCCATTTTATTATGTCATATCACTAAAGATCTACCTGTAACAAAAGCAAGAATAAATTTAAATAAAATGACTGATTCTGATTGCTTGTTTTCTTTTCGGTAAGTGATATATTTATAAATTANGACAAAAATATGAACTCAGAAAAGTATCAAGAATTATTGTATAATATATAATAAATAATTGATTACATTTGGTGCATTAATTGGAGCTCATAAATGGAAGTTTCAACAAGATAATACTCTCATTCATGCTTCAATATCAACTAAAAATTGGTTTAAAAAAAAATATATTGATGTAATTGACTGGCCTTCACATAGACCAGATTTAAATCCCATTGAAAATTTATAGGGGATTTTGCAGCCATTGTTTATCAAAATAGAAAATAATATGAATCTGTAAATCAATTGAAAATTGCAATAATGGATGTGTGGGATGAAATTAAGGATAAACAATTTAAAAAATTAATAAACTTCATGCCTAACAGAATTTTTCAAATAACTAGACAAAGGGGGTGAAACCAAATATTAAAAGTGTTTAAAATATATTTAAAATTTATTTTTATGTAATTTTAGAAAGTGTACCTATACTTTGGTAACAAGTAAAAAGTGATAACTTCTATTATATTATTATTAAAAGATAAAAAGCTTGAAAATGATATTTTTGTAATTGTCTTAAAACATATAAAACTGTTTTCTAATAAAAAATTTAAATAAATTTTGAAAAAACACAAAATTTTGTGTTTTTTCAAAATTGATGGTGTTCTTATACTTATATAACAGACTTTAAGAACTAGTGATAATGGACAGACTCACAAAGTCTGAGCTTGGTTATTCAAACCTCTCAATTTTCTTCAAGATCCTCTCCAAACACTTCCTTCAAATGCTCATTGATAAACAGTCAATTCATTCTTATCCCTTATCCAATTGGATCCCCAAACAGTCACCAAAAAGTATACAGGGTTATACAAGACTAACCCTTCTGTCCAGCAAAGTTTTCCCATGTCTCTCTAAAATTACATTTATTGCCTCAATTGTAACCAGGAAAGCCTGATTACTGTTATTCGATAAAACATCCCATAGTTCTGATTTATTATACATCTATATGACTGTGAAGTTTACATTCAACCTCAAATGCAATATAATTTCCTTTCTTGTCTAACTAACTATAGTCATGTTTGTTTCTCCAATATTTGGTATGTCCATAAAAATCATGTACACCAAAAAACAGTACACTGATAAATTGGAACTTTATAATTAAATAACACACCTAAATGCAATTTCCAGCACATAATAAACACAAATTTACTGCTTGGCTGAAAACGTTTGAGCAGTAAATCTGTGTTTATTATGTGCTGGAAATCGCATTTAAATGTTGGCATGTACACACACCTAAATGCAATTCATTTACATACCCAGTTCTCTGACAAATGCAAATTTCTGTGTTGTGGCAGGACTGAGTACATTACTTTTATAAAAATAGTAAAGATATTTTATTTATTTCTATATATCTTACTTTGTCTTACTTAGTATCAATTCATTCAAACAGAAAGTTTGTCAATTATATGATCATCCTTTTTTTATTAAAAAAAAACTTATCAGATGTTCATGTACATTAAAATAAATAAGTAAAAACCAACAAAGCAGAAAATAAATGAAGATTTTATGTTGCAAACAGACCAAGTAAAGATTTATAAACATTATCATATAAGATTTGGTAAATATACAGGGTCTGTACATAATTCCTTATGTGGTTCTTCCACATTCTGACTTTTCCTGACCAGTTATGACATCATTCCCTGACCTATTAAGGTCTTTGCAATTCCCCTTTCCAATATGCAATATTTGGTCAAGTCTTAAAAACCCATTTTGCACACAATTATAAAATTTTTATTAAAAAAAACTTTATTTACTTAAAAAAAAATCACATAAAATTGATTATGTAATTAGCTACATCATTTCTACAACATATAAAAAATTTCATAATTTTATTTAAATAAGAAAAAGACTCATGTTGCATCATAAAATCAAATTTTCTTAAAGCAAGGTGGTGGGAAATAATTTAAACAGAATAAATCANCAACAAAAAATTGGTTTAAAAAAATATTGATGTAATATTAAACCGAATTTTTTTTTATTTGGATTTTTGGATGCTTTTTAGGTCTCCAAATTTTTTCAAAAATTTTTACCCGAGCGAAAAAATTTTATCGCGATTTTAATCAACCTTTAATGACGCGCGATTAACGCTTAATTGTTTTTTAATGTGATTTTTTTTATCAAATTTAATTAATCGTTCTAAAGTTTTAGTGCACGGATTTTACTTCGGTAAAGTTATTTAAAACTAGTTTCTGATGTCAAAAACGACCTCCAATAATTTTTTCATTTTTTAAAATAATATATTTTATTATATATAAGTTTAATTAAATCGGGGGGTCAGAAATCGCAATAAAAATTTTTAATTTTTTTAAAATATTTAATAATATACCGCCAGCTAGTATTCACCCTATTTTAAACCCTTGTCCTCCCGAGACGTCTATGAGAATGTCCCGGGAAATCCGACACCAGATGTTCTTAAGGTCATCCAGCTGTACCACACAATGACTCATCGGTGTCAAACTTCGCAGAAAGGCGAGACAATGGAAAATAAAGTTTGAAGCTTTTCTTCAAAATTAACGCATTTCTTTCGTTTTTTTTCAGTTTAAAATATTTTTTATGTTTAATTACATTAATATCAAAAAAATGGAAAGTCGCAAGGGGGTTAACTGGCCTTCATGTTGTCCAGATTTAGATTCCATTGAAAATTTATGGAGATTTTAGCAGCCATTGTTTATCAAAATGGGAATCAATATGAATCTGTAAATCAATCGAAAATTGCAGTAATGGATACATGGGATGAAACTAAGAATGAACAATTAAAAAAGTAATAAACTCCATGCTAACAGAATTTTTTCAAATAATTGTAGCCAAAGGGGATGAAACCAAATATTAAAAGTGTTTAAAATATATTTAAAATTTATTTTTATGTAATTTTAGAAAGTGTACCTATACTTTGGTAGCGAGTAAAAAGCGATAACTTCTATTATATTATTATTAAAATATAAGAAGCTTGAAAATAGTACTTTTGTAATTGTCTTAAAACGTATAAAACTGCATTCTAATAAAAACTTTAATAAATTTTGAAAAATTACAAATTTTTGGTTTTCTTATACTTTTGTAACATACTATATATCTGGGAGGCAAGATGACCATCTACTACCCAGTAGCGTAGCGTAGTGGGGGCGGCACTTTTTAGGGGGGCAAAATTTCGTTTTAGGGGCGGCAAAATTTCACAATAAATAATAATAATAATATCTTGTAAGAATTTGAACCATTTTATTTCATATTTTCGTGCACTTACGATTCGGACCGATTGAAATGAGCACGGAATACCATCCGGATGGTCCGAGAATCGACTCGCTGTCCGGGGATATCGTGCGCGACCTGTCGACCGGTTTTTTTTGTTTTGCTTGTACGATTTATTCGTATATACGACCTTCTATTAATATATCCAATAGAGCTAGGTCACTTGCGTTACTCCTATCCAAGTCTCTCTAGTCGCTAACTGTAACTGATTTAGAACCAGCATGCAGTGCAAATTATTCTTCGTATTGCAAAATGACATACGCATGCGTCAGGAACTTCCGTTTGAACAAACCTCACCTGTCGTCCGAGTCAGAGATTTTAAAAAAGTGGCAACACTAGCACGGAATTTTTCATTACTTATTCTGTGACGAAACTGAATTTTAGTCTTTTAAATTGAGATACCTAAGTAAGGGGGCGAAATTTTCCTCCGCCTCGGGCGGCTGACACCCACGCTACGCCACTGCTACTACCTTGTCATAATACTGTAGAAGTAAAGTTGTTGTTTCCCGGCATCTTCTACCGTCGACGGTGTAATACTCCCGTAAATTTTCAGATATACTTTTCCAAGCACCTTTCGGATTTTCATACGCATAGGGATTTACAGCAACTAATTCTCTCAACAGAAGTATGTCGTGATAACAAGAAAACGCATTGGAACTTTCCTAATGTTTCTCGGAGGAAACACGACGCTAATTATAGTAAAATAAAAATTATTATTTAGTGTTATTAAACATCCTATAAATAGTTTTAAACAAATTAATTTGTTAATTTAGCTTTGCTGCTAATCCTCCACGCAAAATGTATCCGCCATTTTTCAACTTATTTTCCGTGAGTCAATGTGCGACGTTCACTGAGTCACGTCATGTTATGAACGGGCGCCTCAACGATTTTTACTTGGACTTGAAACGTCAAACCTGTACTTCTGCTTGCCGTACAAGTTTAACGTTTGAACTTGCGCCTCAACCTCTCTACTGATTACAAAATACTTATCGATACATTCGATACGTATCCATATTAACTAAATTAAAAAAAAAAAACAATTCGTGTCTGTCACAAACGTTTTATGCGCTTAAAATGATTAATTATGAGATGTCGTGTATCTAGCCTAAATAACTTGTTTAAAAATTGGTAAATTGCTTGAATTTAACGGTTTTAAGCAAGAAATAGGGCAAAAAATATCAGAAGATTAAATTAAAATTAATATTATTTGCATAATTGATAACAACTAATTTAAAATTAAAGATATTTAAGATAAAATATGAAATATACGAGTATTTTACATAAATAATTTTAAAATACATAAAATATTTATTCATATCTTACTGTCATACCTGTCAAACAAATTTATTTTTACAAGGAATGACTGGTGTATAGTTCTATTTACAACTACTGTATATTTTAAATAAAAAATAAGTATTATTTAATTTATATAGAATATTGTGAATATACAGGACTATTGTATATCCACTCTCCAATCTTGTAGAGTGAATCTTTCTCACATAAATGTCCTGTGGAAGCAATATTATATGAATTAAATAATCCGTCCTAAATTTTCTAATTTTTATTTAATTCTGAATTTTCCGATAGTTTAGCTGTTTGTAATGTTGATTTAGTAAATGTCTCTTCAATCCGAATTTAATTTTTTAAAATAATCAGACGTTATAAAGACGTTAAATCGCAATTGAAAAAGGAGGAAAATAATGAATGTTAATTAATTTTTTCATATTTGTAAGCAGAGAAATGATCCTAACCTAAGATAAATGATGCATCTTACTAAAGTTAATTAATTGACTGTAAGTTTTATTTTTAATTACAATATTTTAAGAAATAATGTAAAGTGTTTAATACAAATCATAATTTTTAAATTTTATAATATTTTGTTTCTTTTTACTATTTTTCCTCAAGCTGCAGGCACTAGTTGAATAAAAAAAACTAAATCTCTCTATACATTTCGTTTGACCTTGCCAACGTTTGAAAAATTACATTTAGCAGTGGTTTTAAGCCCTGGCATTTTTCCATGTAAGTAAATAAATCAATAATAATTTAAGGAAATTTCCAATATTACGATATTCACGTTTTGTCTCTCTCCAATTTATTAGCAAGTTAAGCAAGAAGTGGAGTGTATTCGTATATAAAGGTAAACCAAATTAGATTTTTACTTCAACCACGACAGAACTCTGTTAAATTTATTAACTATCGCTTCTGGGTTCGGCTAAAACCATTTATAGTATCGTCCTATGGCTAAGATCGAATATGTGTATCTGGTTCCCACTTATCTGTTGTGGGGACATGTCGGAGCACACCATTTGATCGCGGCCATTGGGTCGGTGACTAAAGCTTTTGATGGCTTATTTTTGTGGTTGCGGGCACCACCCAAGGCCGTTGTTCCTACTCGTCGTAGTAGGTAGAGGTGACCGACGGTGGTACTTGGCGGGATCTTTGATCCCTCAAACTTTAAGGAACGTAATTGTATTAAATAGTTAATTAATACTAATTACCTTTATGTTATTTTAAGTAGTTAAATCAACTTAATAACTTAACTTTTAGTATTATATTCTAAAGTGTTTCGTGGAAAATTTTCACTCTGTTTATGGTGAAGTAGCAGCGGAGCAATTAGAAATATGATGCCCGTAGTTCACAATATGTAGACGTTCACAAACTAGTAATGCAGTTGTTGCGCTGAATAAGTCTATTTATAATTTTAAATCGTATAATTTTATCTTTTAGAGAGTTTTAAATATGAAAAGGGAAAAAATAACTTTCTACATAAAGATATTTTTGATGATTTTATTACAATTACTAGCTGTTACCAGCGGCTTTGCCCGCGCGGATTTTGCAAGCAAACCCCATTTATATTCAGTATTTCAACGACCATAGTAATTGTTATATAACACCTACCGCTGAGAATGATGAGAATTGCCGAGAATCAAACGAACTATTTTCAATTTGATCAATTTTCTGGAACATTTACAATCGTTCTATAATCGAACCAATATGCAATAACAAATTCGAATTTAAAACGGTTCGAACATTTTTGAAATCGAAATAGATAAAAATATTTATAACAATGTCTGAAATGTTATTAATTTAGTACACCTAAGTACTCGATGAAGACTAAATCCTCTCCCTCTCCCGCCCGCGGGGGAATTTCGAAAAATCCCTTCTTAGTGTGCATTGCCATGGCATACCCAACTAAAACGCAGTAAAAACAAAAAATCGCATCTAAAATAGTACAGTAGAAGCCATTATTCCGGTTAAGCCTTAATCCTTCCCCCGCGGAGGAATTTCGAAAAATCTCTTCTTAGTGTGCGTTTCCATGACGTATCCTAACTCTCTACCAAATTTCATTTCTTTAGGCTAAGCGGTTTGTTCTGGGCGATGATGAATCAGTGAGTGAATGAGTGAGTTAGTCAGGACAAGCAATTTTATATATTTAGATTATTCTGACTGTTCGCGCTTTCGAAATTCTTCCACTCCACGTTCAGGACCTAGTGGGGCTTAAAGAAATTTCATCAATGTAAGATGGATAAAACCAAGGAAAATTGGTAGTTGATTGAGGGTTTCCCCGGACCAACGGGCTGGTTGATGATATTTTCGTTTTATTCACGCGAAACGCCTACATAGGGGATATTTTCCTATATGTGAAGGAGCTGTAGTAGAAAAGAAAAACTTTAACTTGCCTTTGAAGTTTTCCGAATATTATAATGTACGGTAGGTAAAAAAATTCTCAATTTACATATAAAAATTTTATTAAAATAATAGATAAAATACTACGTAATTTCCAAATAAAATTACTTGTTTTAAACTATAAATAAATTGCATTACTTTCTTCGTGAGTTAGTTTATTCTCAGTATTTTTTCGTTAGAACATATTAAATAAATTTATAATTTAAACAATTTTTAATTTTAAATTTAAATTTCGAATATTTCGTAATAATAACTGCAAAAGTAAGAAATAAACGTTAGCTGTAAGATTTGTGAAAATATATTATCAGATTAGAATTAAAAAGATATTATCATGAAAATATCACCAACCATTCATTATTAATTTAATTCAAATAACTAGACAGTTTTAAATAAAATAAAGATAAATCTTGCAACACAGCCTTAGAGAATTATAAATTATTTAAGGAAGAAACGATTTTATATTGTCATTTTTATACATTTTTCCTGTTGTGATAAATCATAGCGTTTTTCCTTATCTCTATAATAACGTGTAATTTAAATTTATATTAATTCTGCTATTGATTATTTTTATGCATAATTAGCTGCAAGGACCCGCTTCGCTGGGTTTTTATTTGTATGTAATATAGTTTTATATATATATATATATATATAAAAGACTGCTTTTCTAAGTAATCTAGAATCTAGCTGCAAGGACCCGCTTCGCTGGGCAAAAAGTAACGATAGTGAAGATTAAGATAATTACATTATAGCTAATCTTACCCGTTTT